ACTCCCTGCCTCTGGTAACAAGGAGCCCCAAATTAGGGAACAGTACTTCCCTTATTCCCCATACCTTTTCCCCAGAGACGTCACCCCCAGGAGCCCTTCAGTGCATAAGGAGTAACAGAAAATGAGGCCAATAAAGGCAAAAAACCAGGTAAGTAGGTTGAGTAAGAAACCAGAGCAATAGAACAAAAAAAAGAGGGGTGACAGTGGGTGTTTGCTTGGCAGTATATCTCTGTTCACCCCTCCACCCCCACAAGATGCCCTAGGGGAAAATGATCTGTTTGGTTGACTGACATCTATAGGAGGCAAAGTGGGGGGGGGTGATGCAGGGTGGGGGCTGGGAGGGTAGAAAGTTAAGAGTTTCAGAGTTCCCGTAGGGAATCATTGGGGAAAGTATCTTTTCTTTTATCCCAAATTCCCTGCCCCCCACCACATTCTTAGGCAGGCAGGCAGCCCCACCTTTCTAATAGGAGAGGTTGCCCAGGCAGGTCCTTCTTGTACAGCCAGGGGGGCCCCACTCTCTCTTACAGCTTGTATCTCCTCACAGACTCTAACCACACTAGGCAGTGGAGTTGTTTTTATTCTAGTGGCCCTAATTGGAGCATCATTTGCATACACAGAGGGAGAGGGGTCCTATGAAGTTCACCATACCCCTTCCCCCAACTGGGCCTGTAGCCAACAACTGTCCTCGTTTGAAAAAAAAAATCAGAAGCAAATCACTGGGTATCTCTCCCCTAGGTACCTGCCAGTCTCCTCCTCTTCCACTGGCACTTCCTCCACAAGCCTCAACCAATCCCATAGCTCCCTCCAGGATTCAAATTAGAGAAAGGGGTTGGGCACTTCTCCCCCCTCAGTGGCCTCTTCTGGGTTTCTCCTTGGGAAGTTCAGCATGGAAAGACTTTGGGGATGGGGAGGTGGAGGGATACCTTATTCAGAGTTTTAGGATTCTTCAATCCTGTCTACCACCATGACAATCTAAACTCTGTCCCTACCCAACACTGGTTGCTGGAATAACTTTTTCTTGATCCCCACCCTACCAGGACACCCCATCCCACCCAGTTCTTAGCTCACACTATCTCCATGTAATCCTGTTCTGGCCTCCATCACTGCCATCTCAAGGCTCTGGCTCTGGGGGTAGATGAAAGGGGATGCCTTCAAATTGCAGTGTAACTCAAGGGGTTAATAGACAACAGATATCTCCCTCCTATCTGTTGTTGAAGAGCTAGGGGTTAAGTCAGGAGGAAGCAGGTAGTTTTTTCTTCCTTCATATTACCCCTTCCCCTAGTCCCTAAATTCAGAGACCAGAGCTTGCCCCTGGCCCCAGGCACCAACCATCCAGAATGTCCTCTCCAGCTAGAGGATTAAAAGGGAGCAGGGCCACCCAGGGACTGAGGGATGGAGTAAAGGGACTAGAAAGAGAGAAACAGCTTTGGTGTTTACTACCTCAGCCTCAGGGGCATGAAAGGGAAAGAAATACAACCTTTATCCAAGCCTCATCCTTGTTTAACCATTGGGTAACTCAGTTTCTAGAACCCTTCCTCACCAGCCTAGGTCCACCTCCTTCTCCTTCATTATCAAGCTGCACCCTAATATTGTGATAGAATGGACCAAGGCCTCCTGGAGCCCTGACATCTCTGAAATGAAGAGCTTGGACTATAAGGCTCTTAAGGTCCCTTCCAGCTCTAAAAACATCCTCTTTTTTCCTGCATCCTAGCCTTGGGAAACTTCCTGTGGGGAGACACAAGTTGGGGCCCTATGTTAACTCTATGTATATCCCAAGGGTTGAGGAATCAGAGGATGGGGTCTGAAGAGCAGGATAATTGAGTTTATGACAAATCTGAGAGTAGAGTCTGATAGGATTTCAGGATGGGATTAGTTCAGAGGTTTGGGGTACAGAATCCCCAAAGGTAAAGCTATTATCAACTTGATAAAAGTTAGGCATGGGAGTAAGGGCCCAAAGGTTAGGGCAATGGGATGAGGGTTAGAGAACAATGATTAAGAAGCTAGGAAGCTCCAGACCCCTTCCTTATGACATGGCTGCCCCTGCTAAGGAATGGTTCTTACCCACGAAGTGAGGATCGACACGGGGGGAGTACAGCCCAAACTGGATGAAAATGGGAAGCAGGAAGCCAAAGCGCAACCACTCGATGACATGCAGGGGGGGCCTCCCCGTGGGGGGCAGTAGGTCACAGCTTAGCAAGGCACTCTCCCCAGTACGGCCCACCACTGTCACTGCCTCAGGTTTCACGCGGCCTGTGGGGAGTGAGGGGAGAGAGGCAATGGGAGGACAGCAAGGAGTACCTGTGTTAAGGTTATACAGGTGATTTAGGGGTGAAGGCTTTAATTCAATCAAACAAACATTTATTTTGACCATCTCCTGATGGCGGTATATATATACACACCCAAGGCCCCACAGCCCTTCAGGACCCATTCTGGGGCTAGGGGCTCTCTTTCTTCCCAAGCTAGGCCCTTGCTGTAGTGTGTGTGTGTGTGTGTGTGTGTGTGTGTGTGTGTGTAGTTCTGGGCTTCATGAGCCCCAGCAGGAGCTCACCGTCAGCCCCCTGACTGGTGATCAGGCTGAGGATGGCCAGGCCAAGGCACCAAATCATAGCACAGCTGTCCCACCCGGCCCCTCCTGTCCCCAAGGAGCCCTGAAGGAGGGGCCGAGGGATGGGCCCTGGCTGAGGGGTGCTCTTCTCTGCTTTCCAGCAAACTCTTCAGTTCCTCTGTGTAGTCACCAGGGAGATGTGACTCTGGCCAAATTTGATCTTTGGAAGATTCAGGGCCTTGGCCCAGGTGACTCCAGATGGGGACACTCTCTGGGGAACCAGTATCTGAATGGAAGAAAAAAATGCAGAGGGATAAAGAAAAGCAAGTTCAGAATATGTCAGGGGAGAACCTACCAGGCTAGAAAGAATGACAGACAGTATACTAGGTGGTACGAAGTGGAGGTCCTGAGGAATAGAAAAATAGAGACTCTAGCTTAAATAAAAAACCATAAATTCCCAGGACCAATCTGCCCCCCACCAACTTTCCCAAAAATTTTCTTTATTCCAAGTTTACTTGAGCCTCATAGCAACACTGTGAAAGTATTATGGGGTTAATTCTATTCAATAAACCTATAGTAAATGCCTAGTGTGGGCAAGTCACTAGGGATAATAAGATGAAAAAATGATTAAAAAGTCTCTTGCCTTCAAGAAGCTTACACTCTATTGGGGGTCAGGTGAGGATACAACAAGTATGAAGCTAAATATATAATATAAGACAAAGAGGGGAAAGGATAAATACAGATAAAATGCTCTGGGAAAATTGAGGAAGGAGGAAACACTTTTGTGTAGAAGATCACTAAAGGCTTCAAAAAAAGCAAAAGATTCTGAAAGGCAGAAATGGGGGACCATTGCAGGCATGAGTTAGAATTTGTATGAAAACCAAGAAGTGAAAAATGGCTAGAAGTCCAGTAAGGAACATAGACAGATTGAGGGGGCCAGGGGGAGGGAGGGAATGTGAGATAAGGCTAGAAAGTAGAGGTTGGAGTCAGACCATGGAGAACTGTATATGCCAGGTAAAGCAGTTGATATTTTAACCTAGAAACAATATGGAGCAACTCAAAGGTTTTGGCCAGAGAATAAAAGAGGCAAGTGTATGTTTTAGGAAGATTATTTGGCATTTCTATGAGGGACAGATTGGAGAGGGGATGGACTGAAAACAGACTGTAACCAGTTAGGTTATTAAAATAGTCCAGATGTGAGATGATAAGAATCTGAAAAAAGCACAGATATGAGAGATATTATGAAGGTGAATATGAGAGATATTATGGAGACAGAATGGATGGGATTTTGGCAACTGATTAATATGTGAAGAGTGGGAAAAGGAAAGAATCAATGCTGACTGAGTTTTGTGACCCTGGGATACTAGGAAGATTGGTGATGTCATCAAGTTTGGAGAGGGTTGGATTAGTGGGGATGGTTATAATACCCATTATAATTATAGCCCCAATTTGAGACAAGAAACTGAGGCAGAGGGGTTAAGTTACTTGCTGGTGCTCTGCCCCACAAGATAGTGTCAGAGACAGGACATTCAAGTCTCCCAATTCCTACTCCAATTTTCTTTCCACTACTCCCATTATTCCCAATCTCTCTCTCTCTCTCTCTCTCTCAATTGCCAAATTATGTATGTATAGCAGTTATTTTTAGTGGCAGAGAACTGGAAACTAAAGAAGTGCACACTGGGGAATGGCTGAACAAATTATGGTATATGAATAATGGAATACTATTGTGCCATAAGAAATGATGAAAGAGATGGTTTCAGGGAAGCCTAGGAAGACTTGTATGAACTGAACAGAACAAAGAGGCCAATTTATACAATATTAATAAAATTGAAAAGACAAACAACTTTGACAGACCTTTAAAGAGCTCTGATAAACAAAATGACCAACCGGTGGTACTAATGGACAAATGATGAAACATACCAATTGCCTCCTGACAGGTGCAAAATGATACACACTTTCAGATATGCCAATGCGGGAATTAGTTTTGCTTGACTATACATATTTATTTATAAATTCACCCCCTCCCTCCCAATTTGGAAGAAGGGAAAGTGAAAGGGAGAGAAAACATATGCTTGTAATTTAAAAAAATGAAAGAAAAAAAATTTTTTAAGACTGCCATCTATCTATTGCAAGGAAAACTCAGCTTAAAAATCACATTAGCCTGTACTGAGCCCCCAGGCTTTCCTGCATTCTCTTATAGCCATACTGATACTTGTTAAGCATTCCTCTCTAACACCCTGCTTCATGATGGACTTCAACTGTATCCAAGCTGGGAACCCTCTGCTTTTCTCAGAAGCCTCCCCAAAAGGTTTATGTTTCAAAGATGAATCACATTCCCCAGGGAGTAGGTAGGAACAACTTTCCCCACCCTCTCACAGGCTGAGGGGGTAGCAGGTGGAGCTTCCCTCCAGGTCTAGGTAGGTAGCTGAGCAAGTTAGCTCTTTTTTTTCCTTTTATTGACTCCAAAGACTACTTAGCCCTCCTTCTGCCAGGTTCCCTACCCCATCTTCCCACTTTATCTCCTCCCTTTTCCCTGAAATATCCCCTTACCATCCTCCAGGGTCTCTCCTTTCTATGCCCTTCCTACCTCATTGGGCAAGCTTACCCTAAACCAGGGGTTCTATTACTGCTGGGAACCAATATAATTCACTACATTTTTCTTTTCTGTGAAGTAATTCTTTGGTACTCAATATGGGAACTGCCCAGATGACAGACACCTTAGCTCCAGAACAAACAATAGTGAGGTACAAACCCTCAGAATTTAGAATCCCCCAGACTGTTTTTTCCTCCCCTTTCCAACAGATCTAATTGAACTCTACTCTGGCCTCCCCCCCGCCCCTCAACCCCCGATCCAGGCCAGAATCTCTTTTTCTCTCCCCTTTTCTTCTGTTCTCTACCTCTTGAACTCTTCTCTTTTCCTGTTCTCTCCCACAGAACTCTTTTCTTTTCCTGTTTCCTCCCCCAGAACTACTCTTATTCTGTTCTCCCCCCAACTGTTCCTCTTTTCTCTTCCTCTAGAATTCTTTCCCTCTTCTGTTTTCTCCCAGAGCTCTGCTTTTAGTGATTTCTCTTCCAAGAACTCTCCTCTTCTGTTTTCTCTCCCTAGGACCCCCCCCCTCTTTTTTTTGTCCCCCAGAATTCACCTTATCTCTTTTTCTTGTTTACCAGAACTCCCTCATCTCTTTTTCTCTTCTCCAGGAACTCCCCTCTTCTGCTCTCTCCCCAGAACTACTACTGTTCTCTCTTCTGTTTCTCTCTCAGAGCTCTCTTTGAATCTCTCTTTTTTGCTGGTCTTTTCTCCTAGAACTCCCTCAGAATTTTCTTTTCCTGTTCTCTCAACCCTCCCAGCTCTCTTCCCCTGTTATCTCCTCCTGAATTTCTCCTTCCTAGAACACCCTCTTCTGTTCTCTTCCCCCAGAATCGCTTTCTTTTCCTGATCCTCCAACTTCCCTTTTCTGTTTTCACCACCTGAGCCCCACTTCTATTCTTGTCCCCCTGAACTCCCTTCTCGTGGTCTCTTCTCCCATTTCTTGGTGGTCCCTCCCCAGGTACTCCCTGCTTTTCCCGTTCTCTCCTCCTAGAATTTCCCCTTCTTCTATTCGCTCCCGCAGAACTTTTCTCTTCTTTCCACCTCCTGGAATCCTCCTCTCCTGTTCTCTCCTCCAGAACTCCTTTTCTATTCTCATCCCCTAGCACTCCTCTCTTCTGTTGTTCCCCCTAGAACTCTTCTCTTCTGCAGTTCTTGTCCCCTAGAACTCCCGTCTCCTCGTGGTCTGACCCCCCAGAACTCTTCTCTCTGACTTTTATCTCCCCAAGTCTTCTGTTCTCCTGTTTTCAACACCCCTCCATTCCTCCCCCCCAAAAAACTCTGGTCTTTGTTTTCTCCCCCAAAACTTCTCTCTTCTGCTCTCCTCCACTCCCTCCACTCCACGACCCGAGTTCCCCACTTCTCTGGGTCTGCCCAGAATAAGCACCCCCAGCCCACTCCCCACTTCTTCTGCTCCCCCAGAGAACCTCCTCCCTCACCTGCTGCGCTCTGCTCGCCCGCTCTCCCGGTCACACAATAGGGGGCGGTCCAGCCTCCCAGGCTCAGGGGCTCGGAGCGCCTCCAGTTACCCTGGAGACCGCCAATCCCCCTTCAGCCTGCTGCCAATGGGAGCCAGCGAGTGGTGGGGTTAGGCTAGCGGGGTCCCAGCCCGATTCTGGGAGTTGTAGTTTCTCCAGGGGTATGCAGCGTGGCCCGTGGACCCTTGGCGCCCCCTCGTGGCGCTCTAGACAGCCCCGCCTGGTAGTCAGCTAGCTCGGACAAAGCCCTTGTCCTTGGTGGTGACAGAAGGAGCTAGTTTCTTAGCTTGTCCCCTTCTCACTTATTTCATCCTCCTGTCTCAGCAGTTCCGTAGCCTCACGTTTCTGCCCTTTACTCCCTGGGGGGAAAAGCAGCAGGACTGGGTCTGGAGCCCGAACTGAAATCTGAGCCCTAGGGGCAGGAACAGCACGCAGGGTGCAGACCTCCCCGCCCTCTCCCAGGAGATCCACCCCGCTCTTTAACACATCCAATCCCCTCCCCGCCCCCCGCCCTCCTCCCTCTTTCTTACTGGACTGGAAATACCTGTCTGTGTTGGCAAGCACCCTAATCCTACTCCCACCACCCGCAAGGTGTAGAGGCGGGACCCGCTGCTTCTCAGCCTCGCCCAGGAACTATAGATTTCACACTCCTCCAGCTCTAAATCCGAAGATTGGAAGTCTAGCGTCCAAACAGAGTCCAATATTTGCACCTGAGAACACTAGCTGGCAGAAGTCCCCGTTTTCCCTGGACCCTGTTTCTACACTTCAAGAGCCACTCGAGTCTCATCCTTGAAGCTTCTTACTACCTTTCATACAAGACACTGGTCTCTCCCTTATTGTCTCTGTCATTCATCCGGTAATTATAATTTATTGTCTTATGACACCTCTTGTAATCTGAATAGAACCTATAATCAATGTTGTTTTTCTGTCTACACACACACATATCTTTTTTCCTTTTCAAAGAAATTTCCTTTTCATTTCTAAGTTTTGTCTCCCATGCTAGATTGTAATAACCTTGGGGTGTGGGGGGGAGAAACTGACTGTCAACCTTACTCTTGGTAGGTGATTAGTAGATACTTGTTGAATGAATGAACTCTTTAATAATAACAATAACTAATTTTTATCTTATTTTAGCTTTATGAAGCTCTTTCCTCACAATAATTCTATGAAGTAAATAGTACAAATATTATTATTCCCAATTGGCTAATGAGGCAACAGGTCCATAAATGTGGAACAGCTTGGTCTTTTGGGGTTCAGAGCTAGAAGGCACTTTAGTAATCATCTAATCTAACCCTTTGTCCACCATCTATCCCCATTTAATAGAAGATGATATTGAGATTCAGACAAATTACGTTATTTTCCAGTGGCAAAATCAATGGTAGTTGATATTTAGAAGGTAAAATCAAAGGTCCATGTTAAAAGTCAGAAAATCTGAACTTTAATCCTACCATAAACCACCTATGTGTCAAGAGGACAGTCCCCCTCTTGGTCTCTGTCTCTCCCTTTCAAATTAAACAATCAAGTATTAAGTGCCTATTACATGCTAGGCTCTAGATATACAATGTATACAGTGTGTATCATATATGGGAGATGGAATGTCATGTGTAATGAATAAAGAATAGGCCAGCTTGGCTGGACCCCAGACTATAACACTATATACAATGAACTATACAACTAACTAAATAAAACTTTTCAAAAGGAATTCACATTCTAAAAGAAGAAGCAAGGTACTTATACCCATATCCATATATATGGATACATGTATTACAGAATAAACATAAATATCTATAATGTATGCAGTATGTATACCATACATATACATTATATACAAAGTAGTTAAATACAAAATAGTTGAACAGTAGCCATTGAGGGAACCAGGAAAGGCTTATGTAGAAAACTGGTCTTGTGTTGTATTCTTGAAGGAAGAGAGGGAATTCTTCAGGGAGTCTATGAGGAGGGAGTGCATTCCAGGCATCAGAGATGGGAGATGGAATATCTTGTGTAAGGAACAAAGAGAAGACCAGTTTAGCTGGATCCCAAGGTGCAACAAGGATAGTAATGTACAAAGAGGTTGGAAAGATAGGTTGGGGCAAAGCTAAACAGAGGTGTTTGCATTTCATCCAAGAAGCAGTAGGGTTAGATCTATGCTTGAGGAAAATCATTTTGGAGACAGTTTGGAGAATGGACAGGAGTGGAGAAACTGAGGCAGAGAAATTAGTTAGGAAGCCACTGAAATAATCTAGGTGAGAATATTACACAGTAGCTGTGTGAGTAGAGAGAGAAAAGAGGTATTGGGGGGTGAGGGGAGTAGAAATGTCAAGATTTGGCAAGTAATTAATTGTCTATGTGAGGTGAGAGAGAGTGAGGAGTTGGGGATAATGTCAAGGTTATGAACCCAGGAGTCTGAAAGAATGATGGTGTCTTTGACAGAAATAGAGAAATTCACAAGGGGGTGGGGAAAGATAATGAGTTCTTTTTTTGCACGTATTAAATTTGTAATGTCTCCAGGACATCCAGCCTGAAATGTCCAATAACCAGTTGGTAATGTACTATTAAAGCTTGGGGGCGAAAACTGGGGCTGACTATTTAGATCTGTGAGTCACTGGCACAGGGATAATGAAAGCCATGGAAGATGAGAAATAAAGGGGGGGAGGGAGGGAAGATAAGGGGCATGGGAGGGAAGGATAAAGAGGGAGGGAGGAAAGGGGGAAAGGGAAAAATAGATGGAGATGGGGGAGAAAAGAGAAGGGAGGAAGACAGAGAGAAAAACTGAAGGCCTCGGACAATAATTTGGAAAACTCTCACTGATAGGGAATATAATCTGGATGATGAACTAGCAAAGGAGATGGGTAAATAATGGTTAGACAAGTAGAAGACCGAGGAAAAATAAGCATCATGAAAACTCGGAAAGGAGAGAATACTCAGAAGAGGGTGATCAGCATTGTTAAATGCAGCAGATAAGTTGAGAAGGATGAGCGCTAAAAAAAAAGACCACCAGATTTAGCAATTAAAGTATCACCAGTAACTTTGAAAAGAGCAATTTTAGTTGAGTGATGCGGTTGGAAGCCAGATTGCAAAAGATTGTTCTAGAAGGAAGTGAGAGGAGAGAGAGTAAAGAGAGCAGATATTCTTTGTTCTAGGAGTTTTTCTGAGGTAGAGAGGAGAGAAATAGGAGTGTAGCTTGATGGATTTTTGTTGTTGTTGTTTTGTTTTGTTAGTGAGGCAATTGGGTTTAAGTGACTTGCCCAGAATCACACAGCTAGTAAGTGTTATGTGTCTGAGGTCGGATTTGAACTCAGGTCCTCCTGACTCTGGGGAGGGGGGGGTGCTCTATCCACTGCGCCACCTAGCTGCCCCCAGCTTGATGGATTTTTAAGGATCGGAGAGACTTGGACATGATTGAAGGTAGTAGGGAAGGAGCCAATAGATAGATAGAAGAAGTTAAAATTAGTGGGGAGGAGGGATAATTGAAATTGTAATCTTCTGGAAAAGACAAGAATGGATGGAATCAAGTGTACATGGAGAGGGGTTTGGCCTTCACAAGGAGACAGGCCACTTCTTTATCAGAGGCTGAAGCAAAGGAGGAAAGAGTTGGGATGATATAAAGAGGTTTTGAGATGAAGAGAAGTGAAGAAGAGACAGCTCACATCAGTTGATCTCCTCAGCTGGGAGAAGGGGTAGGGAAGAGGTGTAGGAAGTTTGAAGAGAGAAGTCTGGAAAGTTATTGTGAAGATTTAGATAGGAAAGGACAAAAGAACAACCTCCCTGCAATGATAGCCTAACTGAAGCTGGATATCATGAGTTTCTAATGTATCATTAAGCTCATTTGTGTGGTTTCCTCCAGTTCTGTTTAGCAACACACGAGGAGGAGCAGAGGAGGCATATGGTGAGAGTAATCCAGGTCTAGGGTTTGCCCAGAGATGAGTGCTAACAGGACAAGGGGGTAAGAGATTCAAAAGTGGAGCACACTGTAGAGTTGAATTGGCTAGGGTCAAGATTGGAGAAGAAAAGGAAAATTAACTATTGGGCTAGATCAGTGAGAGGGGCAGGTACTAAGTACACTGTCAACATTTATTAAGCACCCTCTGTATACCCAGCTCTAAGCTAGACTATTTAGGAGATATAGAGATAAATAGGACCTAGACTCTGCTGTTAAACTAGTTAGGGTGACAAGGTACATGTATGAAACAACACAAGAACATAATAACCAGGCAACATGATACTAGATAACTAGAGTAATGCTGTAAATTCCATTTATGATACATTAATAATAATAATAATGATGATGATGATGACAATAATAGCAAGCATTTATATACAACCTTAAGGTTTATAATGCACTGTACATATGTTATCTCATATGAGTCTCATAACAACCCCGGGAGGTAATTACTATTATTATCCCATTATTGCAGACATAGAGAGGTTAAATCATTTGCCTAGGGTCATGATCTGAGTCAGAATTTGAACTCAGGTCTTCCTGACTCCAAATCCTGCACTGTATACATTGTGCCACCTAACTACATATTGGCGCATAGTACATACAAGGAGCTGAGATTTCTAAAAAGTGCTCTCCGAGATGTTTCCTTTCCTCAAGGACTTTACAGTCTGGTTAGGGAGGTCCAATTCAATTCAACCAATGTTTATTATGTGCAAGGCATGCTTTGACTTATGAGAAAAAATAACAAAAAATAAAAGCAAAACAATCCCTTCCCGGAAGGAGTTTACATTCTACTCACATTTTGGTGATTTCATTAGCGTAGGTGTTCCATCCATCAGTGCAGATTAAATCCTCTCCATGCCTTTTCATCCTGTGCCATTCTTATTCATTCCAGCCCCCAAGTCCTCCACATGAGAATGTACTCAACACTGGAGCACTTCTTCTTGTTCTCTTACTATATTAGGAGTACCAGTGGACCATTCAGGATGTCATGAGATCAAAGATAACAGGTTTAGAACTGGAAGGGACCTTAGAAGTTATCTAATGTAACCTCTCATCCCCCTCTTATTTTATACATGAGGCACCTGAGACCCAGGAATCAGGACCCAGGACAAGTTGAGTGATTTGTTTTAGACTACATAGCTAGTAAATGGCAGAACTAGGATTAGAACCCAGGTCTTTGGGCTCCAGATCCAGCACTCTTTCCACTGCTCCACATGGCCACTGTTTATCTGTTAGATCTCTTTCTTGATATATGATAAACTATCTCTTTTTTTGGTCACATATGTCTTTAATAAAGTGTGTTAGGATATTTCTCAAGGTCAAGTTATAACTAATCATGCTTCTTCTCAACGCCTTTGAGGGCATTTGTGATTTAGATTCTTCCAGGAGCATCCTATTCAATTTTTCAAGTCCATAAAGAATGGCCTAGAGCGTACGTGGCTTTTGTGGCAGGAAAGGGGTTTTAAA